AGGGGACGTATCCTATTGATTTTGAATGAAAATATGACTAAAAATGGGGGGTTAAGAAAGGTTGAAATTTAAAAAAAGATCATAAATCAAAAATGAAAAGAGATATCAGCATTAAATTTTTAGTAAAAACCAAGTTCTCTCAGGGGATGAAGATTATTGATTCTGAAAAATAATCTGAATAAAAATGGGGAGTTAAATTAAATCAAAAATGAAAAGCGATATCAACATGACATTTTTAGTAATAATCAATTTATATAAGGGGATGAAGACTATTGATTCTGAAAACAAATCTGAATAAAAATGGGGGTTAAGTGGAGTTGAAATATAGAAAGAATTCTATCTCAAAAACAAAAAACGATAACATCTTGAAATCTTCAGGAAAAATCAAGCCCTTTAAGTGGACAAAGCCTATTGAAATTTAATAAAAAAACATATATCAAAAATAAAAACGTTAATTTGAAATTTTCAGGACTAGTCAATCTCTATAATGGGTCGAAGCCTATGAATAAAAATGGGGTTTAAGGGGGGTTGAAATTTAAAAAAAAAATCATAAATTAAAAACGAAAAGCGATATCAACATGATTTTTTAAATAAAAATCCAGCCTTATAAAGGGATGAAACTTACTGATTCTGAAAAAAATCTAAATAAAAATGGGGGTTAAGGGGAGTTGAAATATAAAAAAAATCCTATCTCGAAAACAAAAAACGATATCAACTTGAAACCTTCAGTAAAAATAAGTCTCTATTAGGGAATGAAGCCAATTGTTTCTGAAAAAAGTCTGAATGAAAATGGGGGTTAAGAGGGGTCTATTATACTGTATAAAGAGTATAATAAGCATTATATAGGTATCTTCATTCTAGTATTTATTATTATATCATCATTGAAAACATTTTTGGCGCTTTCCAAATATAAAGCTGGATAAGCTCGTTGAATGCGTGAGTGATCACTGATTACCAGTGGCGTAGCCAGCCATTTTTCATGGGGGGGGGGGGGAAGTTCTATCAAGAAAATGAATAAAAACAAACAGTCAATAGCGATCAGCGCCAATACTAAAATGGAAATAATAACTCGAGGACCCTCTATGGGGGGTTCTGACCCTCCCCCTCCTCGTCGCTACGTCACTGCTAATTACTAATCAGTCAATTTCTTGGCGGTAATATTTAAATTATTTTATTAATTACCTAATTCGAGAGTCATTTAAAATAATTAAAATTGTAAAAATTAAATATATTTAAGAATAGTGAATAAATTTGTTGAGATTTTTGAAAATCTGCTTTATTTTGCGGGAAGTTTCCAAAAATCTTAGGTTAGGTATATCCGAACCATTTTATGTTGAATTTTAAATCAGTGGAGTAAAATTAAGCATAAAATGTAATTTTTTACCAGCGTCGAACCATTTAAAATCACGTGGATTTAATGTATACTTACATAGAATATTTTTTCTTTTATTTTTTTAAATTATTTTTTCTCCCCAATTTTTCAAATGCAATACCCTGTATATTATTTTAGAATTAACTTCGTTATGAATTTACCTATCCAAAAATACAATCAATGCCTAATTCATCAATTTTATTTTTAGAGATACGAAAAAATATTTAATATAAAAGTTGTGCGACCATATTTTACAATAATTCTTAAATATATATGAGGGGCGAACTAATTATACTTTTTTATACCAAACATCTTGTAGATAGTCACATTCGAAACTTATGCCCTGATTGGTTAAAGCAGTGTGCGTAGAACATGAGTGGGTCAGTTCGAATCCTTCCGTGGATAGATTTTTAATTTTTGTTTTCACTTTGGTAATTTGGTAAATTGTTCTGGAGAATTTAATAATTTTATTTTCGGATCTAAAACCGATAAATTTTCACTATATAGCCCACACATTACATTGTTACGTTTAACGAAAACTTAATAAACACAGAAGACATAGGGAAGTGTCTGCGTGCACATAATATGTTTCCCTAGACCAGTGTTTCTCAAACTTTTTTGGCGACGGAACCTTTTTGAAAAGCAAAAAAAAGGTCCTCAAGCCAGGCCCTCCATTTTTTGTGACGAACTTCCTCATTGTACTGCTTCACTTTTTTTTATTGTCTTTTATTTTCTTCGCGGAGCACACTTTGAGAAACACTGTCCTAGACGATGTTTATCGTCTTTTGTGACTTAAAAAAAATAATTTTTTAATTATACCAGTGGCATGCCTTGCGATTTCGTACGCTCTTACCGCTCATCATTTTTTACGCCAATAATTTTAATGGATATCTTGGATTGGATAGACGTGAGTAGTTTGATAGGTAGATAATTAATTATTTAATACTTAATATCACTTGAACATATTTATTTGAATATTACAAATACATTTTTTTTTTAATATTCATAAGTAGCTGCAAAACTGCGGCGGACTACATAATAAAGATTGCACATTATTTTACACAAATCTAAAGTCTCAGCCCATGGCCGATTTTACAAAACAAATCTTACTTAAACGCAATTTTAATGGTTATAATTCTTATACTAAATAATACATTACAGCGGAAAACGATTATCAAATAATCAAGACAAATATACAGGATCACTAAAAACTAAAATTATCACCCGATTGAGAAATAAAAGTATATAATATAAATAAATAGAAATTGGCTGAGTAAGGCTAATATTTAAAATAAAGTAATTTGTTATCTAATTTAATTTCTATTGTATGGTATTAGGCATACGGTATCGGCACTGCAACCATTGCTTGTCACCAGGGGGGCTATTTTCAAACTCGATAGCATTCATTTCTCTCTCAAGAGAAATGTCATATGTCAACGTAAAACAGTATTTTTAGGGGTCCTTAGGGCCAGTGTGAACTCACCGATTGTTTCTTTCGGCTTATTTAGAGATAATTAAAATTCTCCTAAGAATTTTAATTGTCTCTAAATACGTATGACATTTCTGATGAGAATCTTGAGAGAAATGAGTGCTGCCATACTTTGAAAATAGGTCCTTAGGTGAGAAGTACTGGCTATAGTACCAATACCGTATGCCTAATACCTTACACTATTTAGTAGTGTGATTTTTAAGTCAAGGCATTGTTTCGATACGGTTTATCTTTTTAATAGAAACAAAAAAATCATCACAACAGATACTGGCGTCAAAACTACCATATAAACTTATTAATCATTTTTGTTATTGTAAGCCACTTCTAAAATACCCATTTTTTGTTTGTTTCAAAAAGGCAGTAGTTTCTGTATTTTAACACCAGGAGCTTAACTATATTTTGATGTATTTTGAAGTCAACCTAAATTTTAAAATATACCTTCAATTTAAAAGAATTAGAAGAAAGTCCAAGAGTTGCTAAATGAATGTAAATCAAAAGAAAAAAATTCATTGTAATGTAAAAATTGTATTTTTTTTTTAATTGTGTTCAGCAACTCCAATTCCTCTAATATTATATTTTGTTTATTCTCTTATTTCTACTGTATATCTTTTCTTTCTTCTGTGTATTCTACTTTCTTAGATGATTTAATTCAACTTTTTCATTTAAAAAATAATAATAATTTGAGATTTTGAAAAGTATTCAAAATTTGTCAAAATATAGTTGATTACCTGATATTTTATTAAATAAATAATTAAGGTAAGTACTTATACTTACTTTTAATTTATATATTACTTTAAAATCATTTAAAAGTAACTGCTGCTTTCTTAAAATTCATTTTGTTTCAAGATTTTCAAATCGTGAAGTGATCAAGTGCTATTTAAAATATTAGTGCTAACTAATTTAACTTTTTACATTTAATGTTAAGTCAAAATTTGAAAATCTAAAGAATGTTAAAATCATATAAAATTGCAGAATATTACATTAGTTTTTATTTTTAATCTAATAATAATAGTTGTGGAAAATAATAATTTTGTAATTTTTTATGTTTTTGTAATATTCCACAATACACAGGGTGTCACTGAAATGGCGTAAAATAATTTCGGAGGTGATAGCACTTTAAAAAATTTCCATGAACATGGGTATAAAAATGCAAGAAGCATTAAAAGAGTAAATTAAAATTTAAGTAAAGATTTTAAAAAGAAAAAATACTTCAATTAGTTGTAGTATATAAAATTATTTTTCAAAATAATAATAGTTAAACGAATTAAATAACACGCCATAATTTCACTCCAAAAAAAATATTTAGTTGATTTTAATGTTTAAAATTGCAGCTGCATTAAGAGTATCTACTTTTTTGTGAATAAAAGTTAGTAGTTTTTAAAAACGTAGCTATAATAAGAAAAATAATCAACCCCAAATAATCAACCCCAAATAAGTAACCCTAATAACTTTTGGATTTTATTATGTTCATAGGAACTTTTTTCTATTTTTAATTATCACCACAAAAATATTTTACACCTTTTTAATGACACCCTGTATATACATACGAGTTAAGGTATACGCGTACCTACGTTATTTAATTTTGTCAGAATTATATTCCATTTAAAATAATAATTTTATATTAATTTTGGCACCATTATTGGCCAGGTGCTGCGGGTCGTATTTAAGAGAAGTAACTATTCTCCGAAGATCTTTCAAATACTGTAAAATCCTTATCTTAGTAAAATAGTAAAACTTACATCTGATACCTCTGAGATGTTTAACATAAATACACACCCGATTAAAAGCTGAAAAAATATATTACAAAGCCATGACTACACCAGGAATAACATTCTTTGGTAATCACTAAACAAAAATTGAAATATACACATTGCGCTAATTATTAAATACAAAATAAATAAAAATATACAAGATGGCTCCCAACCAATTTTATAACAGCTATTTTTAAAAAATACATTGAAAAATAAGAAGTTTAACATTATGGTTTTGGTTTAGAGGCACCCTGTAGAAACTAAGCAAGTATAAGTTTTCTCATTTTTTTTGCTATATATAACATTTTTACAAATTTGGTTTGTTTATATAGTCTCCTTCCACACATTTCACAAAGACATTGAGATCACTAAATTTATATTTACAAAACGAGTCTCAACTTCACATTTATTTTATTGAAGTCTCATTGCAAATTCTGCCGTTTTGATACATGTTCATCCTCATTATCTGATATTATGTCGCTATTTTCGTCCGTTTGGTTGTCTAATACTTCCTGTTTCCTCTTGGCCGTCGCCATTTCTGCTGCGTGCTTTTTCCGCCATTTTGTTCTCCTATTCTGGAACCAAACCTAGACAACAAGAGAAACATGTTATTAATGCTTATATAAAGTTTTTAACAAAAAATAATAACTATTCACATTTGAAGGGTACAAAAACCGAGATTTTGAGATTTATATGCGAATTCATACTTAATATCACATTAGAATCTGACAGCCTTCGAACCAGCTAAAACAAATGAGCGTCACAAGTTACAGAGAATTTTAATAAACGTGTTTAGAGCAATAAAGATGAATGTCCCGGCATGTCGGTGAAAAGAGATACATTTTTTTTGGAACTGTAAATCGATCCTATCTATTTAAAACTTGGTGTTTATTATACCTTTTTAGGTATTTTTATAAGCAGTTTAACAAAAATAAAACTAGCACAGTTGTGCGATGTTTAGCGACAATACAACGCATGCGCATTGCGGAGTATTTGGAGAAAATCCATCAAAAATTACATAGTTGCGTCATTGGTTGCCTATATCAATTATCAGGGCTCGATTGCCTCGCTCGCCCGCTTGATGCTTGCTTGTTGATTTGAGAGTTAACAATGATTTTGTAATCATAAAGTGATTATCTCCAACCTAAGTACATATTTGGTTTTTTGTTTTCATGTATTATTTGGATATTTCTGTTGTTTCTACATATTTGTAGTGTAGTAGTTTTTTTGTTAGATAGCTGTCTTTAATGTAAAAGGCTACTTTTATTTGATGTATATTCAAATAAGAGGCCACTCTGACAATAATTGTTCTTGAATGTAACAGTCCAGGAAATTGGAAGAAAATTTAGGTTAGGTAGAAAGCGGGAATTAATGGAATGACGCCTTGAAGGGGATAGAAAAAACTTTATGTAGTTTGAATAAAGTGACTAGAGAAGCCCTTCAGTAGTATGAAAAATAACAACCTATTTATTTTTATTACTTGAACCGACTACTTAAAAATGATTCTTGTCCTTAATAAAACAAGAGTTCGAGTTTTGCGAAAAAAAAAAGATTTTTTATTTTATTTGTTGTTTATCTTAGTTTTTCATCTATTTTATAATGAATTTCTATTATTTTATAACTATTTAGCGTTTTAATACTTGAAAAGTTTGATTAAAAAGGATTCCTATCCATATTATAACAAGTGTTTGAGTTTTGGTATTTAAGACATTAATTTAAGTTCATCAAGGACTCCAGTTCCTGATAATTAATTTTTTTAACTTCTCATAGCCCATAATATTGCGCCTCATGAGGAGGTTCCGATGCCCAGCCCTCCCACACTCCCAGACTACTCCACTGAGCGTGTGCGAATGAAAAATATGCTAGGGACAAAATGAGAAGATTATAGACGAAAACAGCTAGTTTGGTGGATGATAATATCTAGTCAGGTTTTAATTGATGAGATTTCTCTGCTGGCCCGGTAGTTCGGTAAATATTGAGCGGAGCAGCTACGCCGTTGCTTATGCCTGAATTAACTCCGAGACCCTATTTGCATGATTTATAGCCGTACTATGGCTCTAAATACCGTGTAATTCACAAATTTAATGTAAAATAGTCATGTTATACAGAAAACATTAGAACCCTTTTCGGATATTTACCCAAACGTGTATTTGTTTTTGTCGTTGAAGGTAAAATTTAATAATTATGTCCCAAGCAGTTGCTTTTTTTTGATGCGGATTTAGAAGGTTAATTTGCGAAAACTGATTAATTGCGGTAATATTAGTGGTATAAATGGTATTTTTTGTGTTCCTATTAGTTTTATTGGCACCACAACATGGCAAAAATTTGTGAGATAATTGCAATTATTTGCCCTTTATTGCCTATGAAATAACTTTTTTTGTCCACCCTTTGTTTTTAAAATATATCGAGTTTAGTCCTAAATAAAAATAGCATTTCGTTCGGCCACGTTTCCCGTCAATTAGTTTTTTTGAATGACAATCTGTCATAGTTTTTCGGATTCCTTGATTTCAGGAAGTCTTGGGTCTTCTTCTTTTTCGTCTATTTTGTGATAAATAATATATAATTATCTTTAATAATGTCTGGATGCATTCTAATTACGTGTTCCTTGGTTCCTAATTTCTTCATTTAGGATCCATATTTACAAGATTTATCTATGGAAGTTTTAAGTCATTTCATCAATAAAATTACCTTTTGGTTAGAATGACAGAACGGAGGGGAATGACGTATGTCAGTTGAGAATATAAATAAAATATTTCCCTCTCCAAACTAAAATTAACTTTTCCTCACGTTTTTTAACATATAAGATCAGAGATAATAGAGATATAACCATTCATTGATAAAATATAATATTCACGATGCCAAGATTAATTCAACAATCAATACGCTCTATTTGTAGGTGCGCGGCGAGGAGACGAAAAGTAAGAGAGGGTTTAAAGAGAAGAATTTTACGCAGATAGATACAACTTTTTTTTATCAATGAATAAATGTGTAAGACGCTGTGCGCTTATAATAAACAACGTAAATATCCGTTCCGGTGTAAGCCCTGTTGCCACTTCCAACCTAACATGACTAGGTTTTGGAATTTATTAAAAATTATTACATCTAATTCAAAATTTGTTGGGTTCAGTTGCAAAAAAATAGTTTGAATTATTTTAGCTTTTTTAATATTTGTAAATCATTTTGTAAACAAAACGATAATAATGAAATACGCATATGACAACAGTTTATATTATACCCTCTTGTGTCCCTTAGAATATGTCTTATTCAGGACCGCACGATATTTGTTAGTAGTTACATCTCCTGTTATCTCTGTCTACGATATTAATATTAATACCCAAAACAGTCGTTTTAGTTGGATCACCTATTATTTACTTTCATTCATTGTTTTGACTTATCAAAAGCAAAAAAACTGACTCCATATTACTACCCGAACGACGCTCTATGACGAGTGGCGTGCGGGAGAGCTGCATGTCTATTGTCTAGAAAAGGTGTTTCCACATTATTTGCTACCCCCAAAGACTTAATGGTCTACATCCTTTAATCCGTGGGTCGGCGAAGGAAACTTTTAATAATGCCACAATTTGATTGGCAAATGAGCTTCTTTTATGAACCAACAAGTAGGGACGAGGGAGGTTGTGTCCCTTTTTAATTCATCCCCATATGTCGCAGTCAGTGCGCACTTATTTACATATTGTTATATTATATTCTCCCCTCAATTCTGCATCTACCATATTGGCATTGCTAAATGCTTCTTAAAGTATTATATCATTTATTCAAGCGGTTATCATAATTTGAATTATTATTTCACCAAATTAGATTACCCCTTTAGTTTAGGTAAATATTATTATCTATTTATTTGTTATCTAGTAACGATTTCTCACTTGGCGGTTACTTTAACAATATTAATGACAAATGTTATAATCAAAACTAAAACGTTCATCACATTGTGTATTTTCTATAGAAAATACAAAATTATTCAGAAGGTTATTGTTCATTATTGGCTAGAAAGAGAGGGTATCTGCTTGTTTAAATTTGTTACTAACTTTATGTCTATTTAATAATTTTATTTCTTATGTCGAGGTGATCCTTGATACGTGTTTCTAGTGGTTTATTAGTTTTAGCAATAAAAAAATTAAAAGAGAAGATTTGAATTATAGACGCGCGCTGCTGTCACTAAAATAAAGCCGTTTTACACCCATATAGTTAATAATTAAAAAATAAATAAATAAATATTAAAGAAATCAACAATTTTACTGATGCAATCTTTTAAATATAACTTTAAAACAATATGGGATCAAATACAGGGATAATTGTTATAAAGTTAAAGCTAAATTCAAATATTATATGGTGGTGTACATCTGGTTTTGATAATAAATTAGGTAATGTTGCATTAAATTATGACAGTCGGATATTTTCACGGAAAATGAAGGTGAGAAAAATTTAATTAATCTGAATTATTTTAGTTTTTAAAGATATCATTAACTTATAAATTTGCATTTTCGTGTGCTGCTCCTAAATAGTTTTTACAGAAACTGAATAAGTTTCTAATTATTCTAAATATTCTAATATTTTAATGTGTTTCCCATTTTTACTGAATCAAAGATTTATTGTTTCTTGTATTTCAATAGTTCTCACAATAATTACACCACGTTCATATTAACTCAAAGATACAAATTGCAGAGATCTCCTTAAATTCCGAAAACTTAACGTTAATAACAATTATTCAAAGAATAATAACCAAGAATTACTCGAGTACAAATTCTGTGATAATGACATCGATTCCGCAAAATTTATTATCAAAACCCGGTTCGTACATAAACCAAGCATGTTTCACAGCCCGTAATCATTAATAAAAGTTTATCAGAATGAGTTGAAGGCACAATGGAGTCTTTAATTTAATCGTTGTAGTCGTAAACATCTCCTTGGGGAGGGGGTACCGACCTGGGGCGGAGCTTCTCCACAGACAATCAAGAAATGCAAGTCTATTAACCCCACCAGTGAGCGTTTCCTTTCAGCAAAGATTCACGGAATTTAACCAAAATGTTAAATATTTTGGAATAGGGGTTTTATTTTATTAAACAGACGCTTTTATAGAGGTTTGACTTTTTAAATATTATTTTCTTTACTCTTATTTTGTAAATATGCTGGCGTTTTCATTATTAATAATAATAAATAATGTTTTATCAGTTCATTAAATATTGATATCAATGAGTGATTTAGAACTGTCTTTTATCTGGTGTCAGATCAGTATATACATATTTGTTTATATCTGGTACATTATGTAAAGCTTATTTTTAAATCAAACAATTTAACGAAACATTGTACTTATGGGCATTGAATAGACTGGACATGGATAGACTAATATGTATCCATTATATTTCTGGTTTGGTTTTTTAGGGGTAAAATCGGGTTTGATGTGCGTCCCTGATCCCTGAATTGAGAGCGACCGCGGGTGTCTAAGTGGGGTTGGGTAGAAGGGATTGGTACTGGGACGCCATTCGCCATTGCTGACTGTCGTGCCCTCAATCCATCATCCATATGACACATATATAGAAATTTATTTTGTGGTATCGATGCATTGGCTACG